CTTTTGGACATTATTAAAGCGTTTAAAATATTATATTTTATACATATATATATTTGTTTAAATATATATTTTGAGTAAGAAATCCATTGAATTGATCACGTATCCTATCCTTACAATCCAAAATCATTCGTAAAATCCTCAATGCTCCTTACATTGTCACTAATAAAATCATCTATAACTACCTTAATGTTCCTTATGTTTCCGATTTGGTCCAATCTTGATATCCTTCCATAACAAACTTAAGAACCATCCGGACCATCTCTTTTCTAGCCTTGCATCCTCTTCAATCCCTGATAACCCTCCGAGGCGTCTGAAAAGAAGATATCTTATTTTAAATACATTTTTAGAATAGTACCAGTGGTTAGTTTCTCAACAAGTATTTTCATGTTATTATTTTCTGTTATCACATTTACTTAGCGTATTTTTATTCTTAATACAATTGTAAATATTATGAATAAATAATAATAACAATATTGATATATTAAAAGTTTATCTTATAATAGTATTTTTTTCATGATACATTGTTTGGTTATTTTCTTGGTGAACGCGTCAGTTTAGAAGGGAAAGGTATAAAAGCAGTGCTCTGACGAGAGGCGAATAGCGTACAAGGGGCATAGGTGAATGATGGGAGCTCCGATGATCGATGATGGATGAGAAATAGCCATACCCATCCATCAATTACCAGAAGCAATAACATTGTTCCAGCGTTAATCTTTTAATTAGAAGGAAATAGTTGATCACAGGTTAAATCCTGGATTTGTACGTATTTACCAATTTTGCATTGATTCTGCCTGATAAGATAACTTAAAGAAAAAAATTGAATTACAGAATTTTTCCAGGATATATCATTACATAAATAGGCGAAAGTGTTCAGTTCTTTTTTCTCCTCCGTTTATCAATAAATTTCCTCTTTTTTGTTGTTTTTTTTTGTTTAATTCCAACTTTATATGAATAATTTTCGTTGTTATATACTTCTTTATATATATATATATATATATATATATATATATATATATATATGTCTGTGTATATGTGTGTGTGTGTGTGTACCATCTTCTCCCACAATCAACAAGTAAGCTCATCGTATGCTGTCTTCTATTTTCGCATTCTGACTATTGTTTTGTGGTACACTCCATTCTGTTCGAGAATTAAAGCATATTATGAACTAATTTTTGGTCTCATGTGTTCTATCTTTATGTACATTTAAAGTTCCTTTCCATTCAAACTGTAGATATTTCATGATATCTTGTCTCTACCAAAACACCCTTCCTTCGTTAACAGCCTCTCACAAGTTTAATCACAAGACCCTTCATATACCCCTTCCTACAGAACATTCGAAAAATCCTTTTTGATCCGCTCCCAAATTATTTACAATCTGTAATTCTCTTACTTTTAATATTTGCCATGCTTATTTAAATCCCCTTATTCCAAAATCTTCTCTTATATCCCAAATAAATGCTCTCTACTCATGGCACCTTAATTTTATTTTTATCTGCTTAATTTAACAGTTTAATTAAAGTAGTTAAGTTCCATACTATATATTAAAATATTTAAATTGCATCTTAAGGGATTAATTAATTATCCTTTTCGATATTTTTTTCACTAGAATAATTTATTGTACGTTTCATATAGATTTTTTATGGAAGTAATGTATTTTTTGTTAGATTTTTATTAATGTAATGTTTATTAAGTATTGCTTTCCGTTACATGTACGTGTTTGTTATTTTCAAGGGAGCTGGTTTCAAAAGAAATGATTTAACTATTTATCTTTTTACATTATTTTAAATAAGACAACAAAAATATAATGTGTAGTCAACGGAGAGACGTAAAGTAAAGAGGAGATAAAACAACCACTTCACTAAACAAGCGAACCAAAGTAAGGAAAAGTAATGAAGGAAGGAGTAGTGGAAGGGAGGTTAATTATGCAAGTAATACTAGCCAACGACTGGCTGGAAAAGAAAGAACTAATCGTTATAACGGAAATTATAAAGCTAGTAATTTATAAATAACTTCTTCCTTTACCCAAACGTATTATAAAATAAAATATTTAACAATATGAATTAATTTTAGATTGTGTTCATATAAAATGCACTTTTTGTTGATTCCTTTAAATATTGTACTAATAACTGGGATATTTTTTACAATTCCCTATCTCATAACTTTTTATTTAATGTAATTTGGTCATAATTAACCATTAGAAATCATACGTTACTGACCAAACGATATTACTTAAAAATTGATCTAATGAATTTGTGCATAATCTAAATAATAATGAAACGTAACCTTTCAAAATATTTTAAGATTAAAGAATTATACATTTTTTTAAACTTTATTTCTTCATCTACATATGTCAGACGTACTGACAATTAGCGAGTCTGCTGTCGGGAAGAATACTGGTATTGGCTTGATCGGCGTGAGGAAGAGGAGTGTCCAGCGGCATCCCTTCCTGTCTCGATTTTAGTATTTTCCTAAATGAGGAAATACCTCGTCCAGCTTGTTTTTAGTCTCCTAAGCGTGTTTTCAGACATGTTAATCGTGGTCATGTCTTGTATGAGTGTGTTAGTATGTCCATGTAAGTTATCGTGAACATTTTTGTAGTTTGTCCGTATATGGTCGTTAACTGTTATATGTTTAGATCTTTATGTAAAGTAATCTTTATGACGTACTATGGAGCTTCAGTTATAGTCCTGAAAGGTTTGCAGTTTTCGAATGTGGGTCCTTTTGGCTGTTCGGTACATTTGTGAAGCGTAGGTCCATATAGGGTTTAGTAGTGTAAGTGTTCAGTTTCTGTTTTAAATTTAATTTTGGGCGTGTAGAAAGAAGTGTGTACAATATTCGTAGTCTAAGGTTTAAGGTTTTTTCTTTTTTTTCTTTTTTTTTTTTATATTTGGGTCCCATATTATTCTTCTATCCAAGTTATTGTATTTCATCTGTTTGCGGAATTGTGGCAGAGTCAAGGTAAATAGCAGGACATGTTTCATGTCGAAGAGTGAAAGCAATGTGTTGTGATATGTCTTAGTTGAATCGAATATTCCATAATGTGCACCAATCATTTAATTATTATTTGTTAGATGAAATCGTAAAGTTTGTGAAGGATGAGTAGGATTTTTATGTCTTATTAGAATTGTTGTATCGTGTGCGTAAGTTGCTGTAGTAGTTCCGGAATGTCGTGTGTAACTTTTATATGATGTATAAAAGCGAAGCGAGTACTGACCCCTGAGGATCTCCTGCTAAGGCTGGATTTACTGAAAAAAAGTTCTGAGCATAGGCGGACAGAGAAAAATCACTCAGAAACAAAGGAATGAAAGGTTGGATCAGGGTGAGGCATATTTTGACAGATTTTTGAATTTTTGAGGGCGGGAGGAAGGAAAATTTCGACGGTCAAAGTGAACTCAAATCATCATTGACAAATTTTTAAGAACCGCGAAAAACTATATTTTCTTTTTCAATTGTAAAATCAAGACGAGTATTTAAAATAAATTCTTTATCTGTTACTCATATTTCAAAAATCATTTATTATTTTAGTCGTAATTAAAAAATATTAAAGCTTAAATAAGGGCGCTTTTGTACCGAATGGAATTTCAAGGTCCGTTTCGGAGCATAAAAAGCTTGATTGGGATTTAGTTCCGAAAGTAAAAATGGTGCATACTCATGGATGTGGGAGAAAAATTATTTAAATTTTGCTCCAAAAAGTTTTACTTCTTGTTTATAATATTGGTAAACTATAATTAATTTTTTAATGTTTCGAATAAAAAAGTTTAAACAGCTTTTGCTCATTTTTTTTAAATACTTATGATATGCAAGTATCATTGCATTCATTGAAAAAAAAACACTTGTTTTTTAATAAACTCAATTTTATATCATACCTTTTTTTTTTAATATATAGGATATTTAAAAAAAAATGAATCAGTGGTTTCGTCTAGCTTTTTTTACAAAGGAATCGATACTTATCTTTATTTTAAAAAAAAACAAAAAAAAAAACGGGGTTCGCTTTGGAAATCCGTATTCTTACTACCTCTTTATATGTTCACATTGGAGGTCCGTCAATCGCCAAATACTCAATTCAAGTCATGTATCGTTTCAATATATCTTACATAGATAAGGGAGAAACGCTGGGATCTCCTAGAGCCTCACTTTTCTCTCTACGAGTGAGGGAACTAGACTGCTGGGAGTGGCTATGGATGATATGTTAACAATGTCTTGTATAACTGTTTTTTGGGGAAGCGAGGTGGTCGAGCGGGCTAACGCGCGTGTATAATACCTATTATCCGCCAACCTGATAAACTGGAGATTACGAGTTCGAATTCCGGTGCTGGGGGGTTTTTAACTCTGGTATTAATCTGTGTTTAAAGTGTGTCTTTTTCTTTTTGAAGCTCACATTTTTTTTTTCTTTGTTATTTTATATTGTTCTTACATCTATGTATTATATTAATATTACTAAATTGTATTTATATTTTCTATCAATATGGTGTGAATATGCTCTCTGATTTATATTATAATTATGTCCTCAATCAGAGAGAATGTAATATTTCTCAATAAACAAAATTTAAAAAACCGAGATCGGGTTTATTATATTAATTTATTATAATTTTTAATTAATCTATAAGACGTTAGCGCACAAAATTCTCGTCACAAAGCATAATTTCAAAAGTCGAGTTATTTTGCATGTATGACAAGAATATTAAAGTACAGCTATTGTGTAAGTTGAAAATCGTTTTTCCTGAGAAGATATGTAAAATAAAAATAAAAAGGAGAGGTAGTACATTAGAAGTAAAGGTGACATAGAGGATGGCTAAAGGGGAAATGTAATTGAAATCATTAATAAGAGAGGCGAGAGGACCAGGATAGAGCGAGGATCGGGTAGAAAATGCGATGCAAAAAGGAGTAAAGAGGGTGAGTAGGGAGGGAGGGGGAGGAAGGGCGAGGGAGGAGGGTTGAAGGGAGAAGGGGCGAGCCGGGGAGGGAGAGGGAGGAGGGTGAGGGAGGGAGCATGATGACCTGCGCGAGCTGCGAGCAGCGGCCGCCCGCCGGGCCAACAGTCTAAGCTAGAGCAAGGCAGGGCACACCGTCCCCCCACCTAACCCTGGGCACCCTTGTACATGGTGAGTACATATATATTGTATATACATATACATGTTTACTCACTGTATGTCTATCCATTAACGGCTAACGTGTAGCTCAGTACACGCTCTCCGTACCGACTTGCAACTCTCTTGTTTTGTTTTTTCGGGAAAAAACATTAATTTCCAGGCAACTGTCTTCTCAACGATATCCACTTGAGGACTTACCGGAATGTAAATAGTGTCCGATCATATCCCAGGCTCCATTGCAAGGATAACAAGGTAAATATTTTCCTCTTGAAGGTCAGCATGAGATTTGTTTATCTTGGTTATAGTACACTTGTTTTTTTAATTAGTTCGCTACTGCATTCCTCACTCACGATAAACATGATGCTTTCGAAATCGTTTTTAAATACTTCTCATCTCTCTGCTTTATCATCTTGTCTGGTTTCTGATATCCAGTGCGTCGCTAGACTTGAAATGTCGGATGGCGTATCGAAACGTTCTGATGATACATACCTACTGAATATTTCATGCTGTTACAGTTTTACTTGTTATTTACCTTCTTTATTAGAAAGAATACCTCCCAAAAAATGAAATGTCAGGAATATCAACAACTGTCAAGCGAATGCGTTGCGACACCACGTGGGGATGATCGGATTTAATTATAGCGGATCGATGCAGGTTGATAAAAATTGTTGAGAAGCCACACGGAGGACAAAGAACCGGGGGCAGATTGCCAAGAGACACAACAAACGATAGGATATAACATGTTCCCTGTCTGCATCCTCTTCACGATGAAATACCATCTCCTTCTCGTATCCTATTCGCACGTTATAATCGCTTCTCTATCTGAAATAAATTTACACTAATTATAATTAACTTAAGGATTTATTATTTCTTATATCTAACCATTAATATACACACCATTTAAAAATATTTATATAAGGTGTCCTTATTGAGTACATTTTATTTGTGAAGATGTTTTTCCATATATAATTATAAACGCATTTAGTATATTAAGTGATCTACAATGATACATAAATTAGGAAAAAAAAAAAAATTAAAATTGCTTACATTATTTGTTATTGATACCAATCAACTGATTATTAATTTATCTATAGAGTCATACAATATTACGAAAAAATAATATTTACATCAAATTTAATATTACATCAAATTTGAATTTAACTATTAGAATAAAATTTGTGTGGATTCCTTTTCCTTGTGCGGGTTTCATTCGATAAATTAGTGAAGAATTATTGTTTCCAATACATTTCTAAAGGATATTCTTCTCATCTCCTATTTGTACATTATTATCACTTTTTAACTTAAAATGAATTAAATAAATATATACTAATTATAGTTAACTTTAGGATTTTTAATTTCTTATATTTTAGCATTAATATCCCTACCATTTAAAGATATTTATATAAATTTTGTTATTCTTAAGTATATACATGTATATGCTTTTTACACGTGTACTTGTATGTGTAGTCCAATACATAATGATGGATAAACTGCGAGGCAATAAAAAAAAAGGCTTATATTATTTTTTATTGATTTTAACTAAGTAATAATTAATTTATTAATGGAATCTAAAGATAGTTTAAACAAATATATTTGTATCAAATTTGAATTAAAATATTAGGATAGTATTTATAAGATTTTTTTTTCTTATACGGGTTTCATTCGACGAAATATAGAATTATTTTTTCCGATACATCTTTTTATATTATTGATTCTGGTAAAGTTTGATGTCTTCTTGACAACGCTTATGATAGATGTTCAACAGGGTTCAGATATGAAATACATTATACTCGTACTAAATATAGGATTATGTCGCTTTTTAGATCCAGAATATCTAATACTTTTTTGCTTCTCGGTATATATATATATATATATATATATATATATATATATATATATATATATATATAATTTTTATTTTTCTATTTATTTATGAAAAAAACTATTGAAGTAAATGACGGATTTAAGAAGATAATGTGATGAACATAAACAGTCATGGGAAATACTGAATGAATTAAAGAAATAGTTTAGTTTTTTTCATAAATGAATATAAAATTTTAAAAAGAATGTTTTTTTGTTAACCTAAGAGTTTTATTAAATTAAAATGTATGCTTGTTTCAAGTTCATTTAAGTATATTATAATTAAATGATTTAGATACTTTGGAAAATGTATTCAACATAAAAGAAAGTAATGATGTAGAGATGGTTGACCGTTGATATGATATGAGAAGGAATTAGTCGAGGGTGCGGTCAAAAAAAAAAAAAATAATAATTAAAATATATAAATAATTGTAATTTTTGCCAGAAATTAAAATTATTTATATATTTTAATTTTTTTTTTTTTTTTTGACCGCACCCTCGACTAATTCCTTCTCATAAAAGAAAGTATTCTTATTTCACAAAAATATTTGTATGGTACTGTACCAAAGGTTTTTTTTTTTTTTTTTTTCGAATTCTCTTGGAAAGTGCAAATTTCATTAAATATTAAAAGAGAAAAATATATTTTTATTTAATTCTACTGTATCAGCAAATTACATTTTTTATAATTCTTTATGAGTAACAGTACTAAAAACCAGCTTCTTATAATAGTTGATAGGGCCTTGTTCATTTATATCCAAAGGTACTTTGTTATAATAACTATTTATTTTTGCACAATAAATAGTCAAACAACCGACAAATGCCCGAGGAAAAATGGTTATATAAATGAACAACAATACATACGAACAGAATATAAATTAACTCTAAAATTAAAATAAATATTCGCTACTAAATAAAAAAACATTAAAACAAAGTGTAAACACTTGATAAAATAAATGAAGTGTTGTAGCTGACATATTATTAAAATAGGCCCAATTTAATCTTTATTTCAATTAATCACTAATAATTATTAATTACTTATTCTAATGTTTTGACATTTTATTCATTGACAAGACACTGACAAGAGGTGTCCTATATACTGACATATGTATAAATAATATATAAATAACTATTTACTCTCCAACATTATTATTATTATTATTAAATAAAAGTTTGTTTGTTCACTATATATGCAATGCAACCGTTAGTAATAAAAAATCGATTTAAAGAATTGTTTCTTTATAGCATGAATTTATCTGGTTATTAAAAAAGGAAAATATTTTAGAGATAATATAAAAAAGAAATAAAATAAAAACGATTTGCTATAATTTTATATATATATATATATATATATATATATATATATATATATATATATATATATATATATATATACATATATGTTTTTACTTTCAATTATCACAATAAAAAAAAATTAATTGCTTAAACAGCGTAAGTAATTTTTACTTCTGCCATAAAACTTTATTAGGCATTTAGAAGATAAACGGGAATACAGGGCTTCGGTAAACCTATCAAGTTATAAAACAGATTCTTTTTTTAGCGGCTTCTAAAAAAGCACTGTTTCTTTGATTATCTTAGAGGTAAAACACTTATATCCGTGGGGTTTTTTAGTATTTCTATTTTATTCAATTAAAACAAAAAAATAGATAATATATGGATGGGTTTTATTAGAACAGGGATCATTTTAATTATCCTATATATTATTTCTAAAAGGTGTATTTTTGCCGGTACGCCATAACTTCCTCAATTCTTCATCAAATCCAATTATTGACCAATCATTTTGAAGATATTCTACTCCTTCACATGCAAAAAATAGTCTCATCCCCCCGAAATTTCTGGGGTAAAAGTTATGGAGGAAAAGATACTTTATTTGCGAATAACTCAAAAATTATGCATTTTTTGATCTGGATTGTATCCATAACGTAAAATTCGGACAATTATTAACAAAGATACAGTACATTAGTTTCAGTATTCCGAATAATGTCTTCCTGTTTAAAGTTATTGCATTTAGGAGTAGAATAGTCTACTAAGTTTGTTTTCCTGGCTTTTATATTATCTTTATTATTTCTTAAAGACATTTGGTTGTTCTTACATTTTATTTTTTTTTATTTTAATAATTTAGAATATCCTATGATCGGAGCATTATTTTGTCTTTATTGCTTTTATTATCTTTTCAGTCAACGTTTAAAAATAGATCCTAGGAAAGCGATTTGTATAAATATTTTGGTCTATTATGTTTAATGGAATATTGTAATTGATCAAGAAAAAAATATCGATTCCTTTCTTACATAATACATAGAAACTACTTATTTCCATATTGTTTCGCTATTTCTTCACTAAACAAAATTTTCTACGAATTTTTCGCACGGGCCAACTAGTATATGATTATTTATCTATTTACAAATAAAATTTGATCTAATTTTTAATTAATTATGTTTATTGGACTGAGATATTTGTGAAATTAATTTTAAAAATGAGCTAGGATGCAACAATTATTTTATTTTCAATTGTCAGAATAGTTTGTATGTAAGTATAAATTATACAGTGTGTCCCTTAAGTAGTGGAAAATTTTGATAGAAGTAAAAGCATACCTCATGAGCTACAAAAATTTTCATATAAAAAATGGGCCAATTTTCAGCAGAAAAGTAGGAAACCTAAGTTTTATTGTTTTTTAAGTGAGTCGTGTTTTTTGTTGAATAGGAAGCGACAGCTAAATAAATATTTCATTTAAGTAATTAACAATTGCTTCAATGTAAACTAGATAAAATTTTCTTTGAATTTAAAAAGAGTTCGTCATTGTAAAACCATTTAAAGAATACTTTAAAACGGCTAAACTAAGCTAAGTTCTGTTTTTTAAAAAATCATAAATTATTCGTGATTTTTTTTAATCATGCTCCGAATATAATACAGATACCCCACTTAACGAAAAACGTCCTCGTTTTTATAATCCTAAAAAAGAGGATTATTTGTCAAGAACTTGAGATTCACCTGTGTACAAAAAATTTGTGATTTTATATCCTGTCACCTAAAAGTACTGTTGTTTTAACTGCGCAAAAATTACTACAATCAACTGTTGCAAACATTTTTTTTTCGTGATTTGGAATGTATTAAATAAACGCAATTACATAAATACA